GTTGCGAGAGATTCACTGAATCGCATTTTTATTCTCGCGTTACACGCGAATATTCATACATATAATACCATGTTTGTAATTACAAGTTTTGTGATGACAAATATGGTGTTATATACATATATTAATAACAGTTAGCGTACAATTTAATAAAACACTAAAATGGAAATATTTAAAAACGCAATTGATATTTTAACCATAGGCTGTGTCACATTAATTTGAAATAAATTTCCGAGTGTTTTCAATAATCGATTAAAAATCTAAGAATCACATTAGGAATTAAGCCTGGATTTAATACTCTATCAGCTCATTTTATTTTCTTGAAAATAAATCTTTCGGCGTATCTATTTGAAACTATTACTAGATTTTCCCCCAATATTCTCGGAAATCCGGATACTTGTACAGGCCCTCGGGTCGTACGTCGGGCGTTCAATATTTTACTTTTAACGAGAGACATTGAGCATAAAAGTATTACACACACACAGAACAATATTTCCCTAAAATTATCCCGTCATCGTTTATTAGATTTTCTGAATGTCCCCACCTCCTCCTCTCTCTCTCTCTTCCTTACAATCGATCGTGACGTTAGGAAACGAGCTCGGCTCTCAGTAGGATGACGATAAATTTTTCCGGATAAAAAGGACAGCGGAGATCTCTCAGCAGAGAGCCAGTATGTAGCATTCGCCTTTCGACGGACGTTCGTAGAAGGAAGGGACCATTCGGGACCGTTACTCTCAATGGACCAATGGCCTCTGTGTTTCTCGCCTTCCTATTAAGCGCGCGCGATCGCATCCCATCCCGCGTTTCCCTATTCATAGAATAAATTCGACGAAACGCGAGACGAAAATCTATCCGATTTCAGTGTCGTTATTGGAAGAAATCCGACTCGACGATTTCATTCCGCCCTTCGCGGAAATATCCGAGATATCGAAAAGTGTCGCTCGTTGCGAAAATAGCTGGACCGGAGAATGTTTCTCCTCTTCTCGCGAATCGCTCGGCTTCATCGAATTTCAGCGCAAATGCAAGTCGATATTCCTAAAGGGCGAGCGAAACTTCTTCATTTCGACGGTCATGATCGGATTACGACTTCTTAAGTATGGAAATTAGCATGAAGTGAAAGCGGCGAGAATGAAATCAAAGAGCACCGTCGTCTTTCCTAAATAACTTGGAATTTTTCTAAGAAAAGTTTCCGAATTCTTCTCTTTCTCTATTTTTAAGATCCCAATTACTGATATACCTCGATGTGATAAATTCGATAAGTTTCGTGTATTTTTCGGGGATTAAGAATAATGGGGGAAGAAGAATAGAGCATTTCTCGTATAGTTTTCGAAAATCAAGATTCTGATTGTCTCGATGATATTTATTAAACGTTAAGTTAAGAATTTGAAACGAAATTTAAATCAATTCAAAGTAAGCTACAGGGTCAAAAGAACGCTTAATTAATTCCAGCGACGTTTTCTCGCATCTTTCATCGAAAGTCGTCGCGGTCGAGGGCACTAAGATAGAATATATAATACGGCGAGCAAAGAGAGGAGAGAGAAGAAAGAAAGAGTGGAAAGGGGAGAGAGAGAGAGAGAGAGAACATATAGCGTATCTTCGATCCTTTATGCGAGTTTTGACCCTCGCCTCCAGCGCTAGCATCAAAGCATCTTTTCGCTCTCCACACTCGCCCCGCCATACTCTTCCACCGCTGGCTTGTTCAAATACTTGGAGCTAATTCTGTTTGCTTGTATATTAATAACCGTCTCGCTATCAGCATTAAAGGCCACCGCGTATTTATCGTGGAATATTAATGCCAACTGGAGAAGAGTGATTAAAATGACGTAAGAGCAACCACAAAGTATGCCGCGATTGCACATGATTATTTTTCTCTAATTAAAATATAGGTGTAATTAAAATATAGATGAGCTTTTAACCCCCCGCCCTTCCTCCTCTCTCTCTCTCTCTCACTGTGCTTAATTAAGAATTATACAAAGTATCTGAGTATTTATTAAACGATGCATTGATTAAGCGGCGCGAGAATGAAATCAAAGAGCACCATCGTCTTTCCAAAGTAGCTTGTGTGTTCAATTAGAAATATTTTTACGATCTTCTCCACGCTTGCAAAAATATCACCCTCGTGTTTATTAATATAATGGGTTTCGGATAAACGATGTTCGACTAATTAGACCTGCATCTTCCCAGATAAATTATTCGTTCTCGATGATAAATTTCCCGTCATGTATGATCGAAGCTAATGGCGTGCGCGAGAAGGCACGCTAATCCCTGTCCGAGAAAACTGATTAGGTCGTGGTGCGAGAGCGAGCCGTGAAAACACTCTCGTTTTTATCGATCTTGCTTTTGGGTAGCTCGACTTGGGTGGATCAACCTGAACTAGCCTAATTAAGAGGATCCTTCACTTTGGCTCAGGCGTACTTCGACGCATTCTTCGTATGGTAAGGAAAGACGTATAAATTTCTCAATCCGAACAACGAATTTATTCAATTTTTGTTGTTGATCCGGTATATTCACGAAATGCGCGAGAAGTGGAATTTCAAACGAGCATTTTTGCCAAGATTAAATAAATGAAATTGTCGGTAAAATGGGGGGGAAAAGAATGATGTTCGATTTGAAACTTTGTCTCGTATTTTAACGCACATCTAACGCTAAATGTGACGGTCGTCTCGAGTTTTATTTGCCCAATATGAGGAAGAGGTTCACAACGTCAATAGGCGACCACACAGAATTGTACGGACAGTAACACTTATGTTAACGCTAAAGGTGCGGCGGGAAAATACGGACCTTTGGCTTTCGGGAGGAACTTTAAAGGCTCGTAGGTGTAACTAATATCGCGGCCGTTTTTTTACGAGGAGCACGTGCGCTCGAGAGTCCACGAAAGAGGAACAGAGAAAGAGAAAGATAGAGAGAGAAGGAGAACGCGTATTTGGACTTTCAACGGACTAGATGGAATGGGAGGTGCAAAGTGAACTCGAGTGGTTCACGGAGGACGAGGCGTGTAGCGAGAACGCTCTTTTTCGGGTCATTCCAGAAATAAAAAATGATGAAAAAAAAAAATCAGACTCCCGTGTATGGCTCGTCGGCGCATCCAGCCCTCTTCGGTTCGGAGGGAGGCGCGCGTTGAACGTTTAGCACCCAGAAAAATCAACAGCAGCCTCAAAGAACCTTTTCAAACAGAGCGTTACGCTGGCCGATTAGCGCCGCGACACTAACGATCGACTCTTCGAGAAAAAGGAGCACGAAAAAAAGGAGAACGAGCACGCAATGCACGCAATGCAACGCGTGCTATTTCCGTCATGTTCAATTGTTTCATAATGGAGGCAATAGATTTTTAATAATTGATTTTTAATATTATAATTTAAAAAAAAAAATTTATAGTAACTCTGTATTATTATGATAAGTGCAAAATTTATAAATCTTGGTAATAATCAAGAACTTTTTACTTTTATCTTGCTTTTTTTTTCAAAAGACTGCTTTTGCTATTATATAACGCATATAACTGGATATAAATATTAATAATGCATACATTAAATAAAAATAAGCGTTAAATAAACAAGAAAGAAAGGTATAACGAAAATAACGATGAGTTTCGAGAGATTCGACGAGAGATTTGCCAGAAAAATCGAAGCCGTCAGTTTATCGTCGTGATCGAGGCGAACGCGAGATATCCGACCGACACCCACGTGGGGTCAAGGAGGAGGATGTCCCCTTTGCGCGAAACTGCGCTCTCGGTGCCTGCGATATTTAAATAAACACCGCGTGTCCCCCTTTCTCCCTCTCAGGCCTCCCTCTTTCGACCGGCATCTCTGCCGAGTCGGCGTGGCCATATCACTAATTTGTCCGTTCAAACAAAAAGCAATTTGTTACCCGGTCGGACTGACTCACGGACCGAACGGTGTATATGCGGTTCGCTCGAGAAGCGCGCAGGAGGAAGGGGGAGGTGGGAAGGAGGCGGGAGGTGCCGGGAGGAAAGAATCGGCAGAGAGAGGGAGAGAGAAGGAATGTAGAAGATGAGAAAAAGAGAGAGAGAGAGAGAGAGAGAGAGAGAGAAGTGGAGGCTGATTTAAACCTGTCTGGAGGCCCGCTGCGCGCTTAACAACTGAAAAACAAACATGGCGCCGAGAGAACGCATCGACCAGCGGGGGCCCATGTATGCGCGCACCGAGACTATAAAGTGCTTTTGGTACCCCCGGAACCCGGCCGGTTAAATCAAAAAAAGATTTCTTCTCCGCGAGAAAAAAGAAAGCAACCGAGAGAAGAAAATATCGGGAAGTCCTGGAATTTTTTTTCCCCGTTTAGGCCGCTCTTC